TCTGATCTACCTGGGGTCTTCTTGTTTCTTGTGCTGGAGGTTTATTGAACTTCATCGATCTGTGAGTTTATAATTTCCACCCAGTTTGGAAATTTCAACCTATTATTTCTACAAATATTTTTTCTTTATTCATTTATTCATATGTGTATACATTGTTTGGGCCATTTCTCCCCCCTGCCCCCTGCCCTCTCCCCCTCACTCCCCTTGCTTCTAGGCAGAACCTGTTCTGCCCTTTTCTCCGATTTTGTTGAATATCTACAAATACTTTTTTCAGGGCTACATAGTTAAGTCTGAGGTCAGCCTGGGCCTCAAACCAGAAACTGTCTCAAGAAACCAAAAACTAAATAGAAGTAAAAATAACTGCTGTAATGTGTCTGTCTACTGATTCTGTCATCTGTCTTATTTCTGGGTTAGTTTCAATTGATTGACTTTTCTCATTATGTTTCATACTTTTGTGCTTGGTAATTTGGGTTTAGATGCTGTGTGTTGTGACTTTTACTTTCTTGGGTACTAGATTATTTTGAATCTCTATAAATATTCTCAAGTTTCATTCTGTGTTGTAGTTACATTACTTGGAAACAAGTTTGATCCATAGTTATTGCTTTGTTAGGCAGAACCACAGCTGTGCTTGGTCTAGAGATAATTTTGCCCCACTTACTGAGGCATATCCCCTCCTGAGTTCTCTATGCAATGGAAACAGAAACTCTTCTGCCTTATGTGAACTCTGAGTATAGCTCCCTCTCATATTTTTGGATGGTTCTTCCTTTGGCCTCAGGTAATCTGCCTATGTCGTTAGGACTTAGCTGAAGGACTGAAGATCTTTGGGAGACTTTTAGAATATCTCTTTCTCTAGGCAGCTTTCTAACCTCTCATTTTTTGCCCTATAAACCTTTACCACATTGGCCTTTTTGAGTTTTCAGCACCATCTCCTCAAATAAGTGAGACCACTGGGCTCCACCTCAATTCCTTCTCCCTGTCACAAGGTCTGGAAACTCTTTCTAGGTCCTGAGCTGAGGGCTGTCCTAGTGGTCACATAATTTGTTTCCTATTTTCTTAGAGATCAATGTCCTCAATTGCTAATATTCTTGTATTTTGGAAAACATTTTAAAAAATATTTTTACAGTTCTTTAATTGTTTCATTTAGGAGGGTGAATTTGATCTTTGTAACTTATCCTCACTTGTCTGGAATTGGAAGTCCTGAATGTATGTCTCTAAAACTGTTTGTATGGTGAATGTAATAGAACCATGTGTCAAGGGCACTGAGGGTGTTGGCCAAACTATGGTTGAAGTGAGGCATCATGGGACTTGGGCTGTTGTGGAGAAAAGGTAAGTGGGCAATACTCAGAGAGTAGACTGGAGGTTTCATAAATTCAAAGAACAAGGATGCCAGAATAAGGGAAAGAGAAAGGTAGAAGTTGAAGAAGTTGGGTCAGACTCTGGCATGTTTAGGCACAGAGGCAATTCAAATGACAATCCAGGGGGTGTGGTCATCGGTTAGCACAAGTGGAGTAAAAAGGGCAGTTGTTGAGGCTGTGGAAGTACTGAGACCCGGAAAAACTGCTTGGCAGTTTCAGAGGAGGCCATTTCCTTGGTGTTTGTCACAGACAGCATCATGTTGAGGCTATGGGGGAGTTTATAACTGAATAAGCTTTCATTGGGATATACTGACAATGACTGGGAGTATTGTCAGCAGTACTGATAGGACAAATATGCATAGCAGTTTGGAGAGGACAGTGTAAAGGAACTTGATTGACAGGCCAAACTCCCGAGGGCTAAGATTTATTCTGTTCAGCTAACCAGCCTGTAGGTCTGATGGTAGCCAGCAGGGCTAGCCAACCTCCCAGAACGCTCTTATGATTTCCACATCCCGGCATTTATTTATGCCCTTCCCACATTAAATAGGGCTGACTTTTGTACCAAGAGGATATTATGGCAATGACAAAATATGAGTTCCAAAGCTAAGTCATAGAAGAAATGTGAATCTCTGCCTTGCTCTTTCTTGGATCACTCTTAAACAGCTTGTGGAGAGGGCCATGTAGGGAGAAACTGGGTCCTCTTGTGAACAAGTACCAACTTGCCAGACGTGTGAATAAACTACTTTGGAAATGTATCTCAGCCTGTCAAGCTCTAAGATGACTAAGGCCTATCTTGTCATATGCTACTACTCCACACCACGTCAGGACTCCACAGAGTCCCTACTAGCAAAAGGCCCTTACCACATGTAGCTTCTTGACCTTGGATCCTAAAGGCCCTCATCACATGTGGCCTCTGGAAGGCTCCCACCTTCCAGAACCGTGAGCACCTTTATTTTTTATAAATTATCCAGTGTGTAGCATTCAGTTATAGCAACAGAAAACAGCCCATGAAAGGAAACTGGGTAAGTCTGACCCAGCTTTTTTTTTTTTTTGTGAGCAACCTGTGAGTCAGAATCAAGCTGCTGAATCACTCCTAAATTTCCTTTCAGCACCTAAATTTTGGGCAATTTGTTATTTAGTAGTAGATGACTAATACATATTTTGATATTTTGGGACCTGGAACTAGAATGTTAAGAAAAGCCTAAAAACATAGGCATGGGGTTGGATCTAATGAGCAGACTCTGGAAGGACTCTAGTTAGAGTGCTGGAGACCTCAGATGCTGGTTGCTAACCTGCTGGCTCACCTTGTGGGAGAGGCAGCAGCTTCTCTACCCTTTGAGAATAAAACCACCATAGCTGCCACTTTACTTCTGCCTTCTACATCTTGCACTAAATGAGTCCTGGCACTCACCATAACTGGAAATATACAGAGAATGGAATTCTGGGAAATGCAGTTCAGCCTTGCCATGCTGCCATATTGTGAAGACACCATAGAAAGCTCTTACCAAGTTGTCAGGGAGTCAAGAACAGGACTATCTGCCTTCCATAGCAGCCATAGGCATTAAAGTGTCTTGGAGGTTCAGGAGGCCACAGAAGGAAACCTAGAGGACATTCAGCCAAGAGGTTGGCTTCTATTGTTTTCAAGGGGCAAACTTTTTGCATGCTGGAAGTAACAGATTTCATACATGCTGCAAGTCCTCATGGAAGATCAGAACAAGCCATAAAGTTTTTCTTCTATTTGTGCTAAGAGCTAACAAGTGAAAGAAAGATAAAAATAGGAGATTTTTAATTACAGAGGAAACTATTGACTTCAATGTAAGACTGGTGTTTAATAATGCAGGGATTGTCTGGGAAATGGGTTATCATTAGATGCATAAACCACAGGTTACTTCAGCACAGCCTAAAAAGACTTTTCTTTTCACCCAGGCTTAGGGAATGGAGCCCACAACTTTGTAGAAGAAAGCCTAGGACGTCACCCATTCCCTTGCCAAGGCCTAACTTGCATACAACAGTGCAACCATGTTCCAGGATTTTGGAGAAATGATGTTGAAGAGATACAGAAAAGACAGTCTTTCTGTCTTTTAGGAGCATATGAAAGAACTGGGCGTGATAGTGAGAGGATATTCTTTGGGAGGAGTTCCTGTGTGAGCAGGCACTGAGTGCAGACACGAGGCTCAGTTCTGGCCAGGTCTTTGTGAGGGTATAAAGAATCCGACCACTTCAAGGATGGCTCTGTGGAAAGGGCACACGAATTGCTCAGAGTATAGCAAAGTAGTGGAGGCCTAAAATACAGATGCCAACTTCTGTCCTCTTGATGGATGACCTCCACTCTTATCTCCTTGGTCACCAAGCTCCCCAAGTAAGAGCAATCTCAAGCCTCCCCACGTGTTGCAGTGGTGATGGCTCCAGTCTCCCCGTTCTGATACAAACGGACTTTCCTGTACTCATCTGTTGTAATAAGGTGCCAGGAATGGTGTCATTACTGTCTTTCCACCTCCCTCTGGAGACATTTTGCTGGTGTGACTTTGGACAAGTTATTCATTCTTTTCTAACTTGAGTTCCTTCTTCTGTCAGATGGGATTCATAATTGAACCTGGATCCTATTGTGAAGTGGACCTGCTACCACATGGGAAGACATTTGGCACAGAACTGGTGTTCCATAAAGGTCTTCATCAGCTATTGGTAACCATTTAACATAGCCTGAAAGTTAGCTCAAATTGAAACCTGCACACTGGGTTTCTGCTTTAGGAGTCAAAGCTCTCAGAATGGGCTGCCTGGATACCATCTTCCCTCCTGACAGAAACTGTCTTGTTAGCATTGTATCCTGCTTCAATTAAATGTACTCAGATTTTATAACCCAAAGTTGTCCTCTCAGCAAGGTTTATGCGTGAATAGGGCACAAAGAGGGGACATATTGTCCCCCACTGCCTGAGGGAAACAGAAATGAAGAGGCTGCTTCCAGTTAGAAAGTTCAGCCTGCCCAGTCAGGTCAGAATTCATGTACCACAGTGACCCCACGGTATGTACTTCCTGAACACAGGGCAGACTACTGTTTTGGGCCTAGAGTTCTTACTGATGAAAACCCCAACTCTACCTGCTCCAGGCAAAGAGAACTGCTATGGTTTGACTGCCCCCTCCAAAACTCATGTTGATGGTTTACTGCCACTGTGAAGGTATAAGGACGTGGAATTTAAGAGGTGACCTTTAATGGTTTAAGGCCATTATTGTGGGAGCTACTTGTTATAAAAGCTTCCTCAGCTTTCTCTGGCTCCTACCCCCTCAGTCTGTGTCTCCTGTGCTCACTCATTCTTCCACCATGGTCTGATGCAGCAGAAAAGCCCGCACCAGTTGTAGCCCCTGTATCTTACTCCCCAGCCTACAGATACATGAGAAATAAATTTCTTTATAAATTACTCAGTCTGTGACATTCTGTCAAAGAAGTTCAAAATGGCTAAGACAAGGTCTCAGGTTCCGCTTCTTCCCCAGTGGTCTGGTGTGACGGGCCTCCTCCACCTGTGCACTGGGACACCAGCAATACGCCACGACTGGTCAGGGGGGTCACCATTTATTGAATTGAGAATTAACACAAGGTAACATCATACAGTCAGTCATTTCTAGGGCTTAATAAAAATGATTGTCACTCACTGTGCTTCACAAAAATTTCTTTTAATGAATAAATAATTTGATGAAATCAAAAATATTTACAATATAAACAAATGGAAAAGCTTTGGATCTGCGAATCTGACTGTGTTGCATATCTGAACTAAGTCCTCCCAAGCTTTTCCCTTGGAAACAATACAAATCTGATAGAAACCACCACTCTTATGACATAGGTTTGTTCATTACATCTTTATCTGTTAGTCCTGGAAAGCTACATAAGCTTATATTATGTGACATGTTAAAATACAAATATTAACTAAAATAATATATTATCATAATGCCAGGCAGCATTCTCCACAGAACAAAAACATACAGTCAGCTGTCACAATGACAAAGGATCACAGGCCACAAAAAAATACTCCAAAGGTACAAATTCCTTCATAAGAATATAATTGTGCTCTTCGGATGACCAAATGTCTATGCCGCTCTAACAGGCCAGTGACAAGGAGTACAGTATCTGATGACTGTATGCTGTGTGTTTCTGTCAGGCAGCAGCATTTACTGGGAATTGGGCAGTGCAAGCAGTTTTATAAACACTTTCTTGGGCTCAGGCTCTTAAAAAAGAGCCAATTATGCAAAGCAAAATAAGCATATTGAGAAATCTTCATCTCATCTACACAAATACCACGGAACATCTTGGCTTTGTGGTAGGGAGGGGTCATCTGCAGAGCTGTTGATGCCATCAGCCAGAATTCAAGTATTCCAGGGCCACTTCGTAGCAGAACTTGTATTGATCCTGGAAAACAGAAGGACAGCAATGTCAGCTCTCTAAACACAGCTTACGTTAAAGCAGCTATGCCAGATGAGGGTCTTAATGGAAAGAAATCAAACTGATAAGGATTTGAATTAGAATCAGAAAGTCATGGTTTTGAACCACGAATATGTTCACTTTTTGTTGATGCTCCCCTGCAGAGCCTGATGGGAAGTATTTTGACATCTGTGCTCAGAAGAACTCTTGGGCAACAGAGAGTCTCACAGAGCTGGCCTTCCACATCCCTGGGTCTGCATGCTTAGCTTCAACCAACTTCAGTTCAAAAATATTTGAAAAAGAATTGCATCTGTACTTACCATGTAAGCTTTTTTGGGTCACTGTATACATTTCCCTGAACACTAGAGAACAACTACTGTTTATTTACATTGTGTGAGATATTGTAAGTCATCTAAAGATGATTGCAGGTACACAGAAGGCTGTGCCTAGGTTCTGTGCAAATACTATGCCATTTTATATCAGAGATTTGTGCTTCTGCAGATTTTGGTGCTGGAACCAATGTCCCGTGAATACCAAGGGATGACTGTATGTTTGTCCTCACATGTTTACCTGTGTATCAACAATCTGAGCTTTGAACAGGAGAATCAAGAGGTGAAAGGAGAGACCCTGAGGACTAGATGGAGTGCCTTACTGACCTGCTCTTACAAACCCAGCAGTTGAGACTTCTCTCCAGCCTAACTTTACCTTGAACTTTTAGGCAGCAGGATTCCCTCAATTCCATGAGAACTGAGGAAGCCTTTCTTTAGTACCATGCACCTTGATGTGGCTCCTGATTTTGAGAAGCCCACGATGCAGGAGGAGGATGACAGGTTACTCAGTTCCAGTACAAGGCAGAACAGTCCCCCAACATGGGCTGTGGGCTCAGTGAAGGTCAGAGTAGACCTTGGGAGGAGGGCAGGGGGAGGTGGTAGACTGAAGATGCATGGAGCTGGGTGGGGCACTCTATACCTTGGTTTGTTTTAGACAGTCCTGGTTTCTGCCTGTTGTCCTGGCATGATTGTTACTAGTGTACCCTTTGACTCCACAGTCTACTTTAAGTGATAAAGTGTGTGGCCATTCTGAGTTGAAAACAGGCATTGTGGGTAGAGGCAAAAGAAGAAGGAAGGGCAGTGAAGGGGAATGTCCGAAATTCTCTGGAAAGCACAGGCCAGTTCTTAATCAGTGCATCCATTTAATTTTTTTATTATTAACACATATTATTATTTAATTAATGGGGTTCAGTATGATATAACCATATAGGTATACAGCATGCACTGATCAAACTCAGTCTCTCTCTTTCCAGCCTCTAATAATCACTATTCTACTTTCAAGTTGACTTTTTTGAGCTTCCACATGAAAGAGCAATGTGGTATTTGTCTTTCTGTGTCTGGCTTATTTCACTTAACAATGTCCTCCAGTTTCATACACTTTGCTGCAAATGACATAATTTCATTTTTTTTTGTGGCTGAATGATACTCCCATTGTGTGACACTTTCCTTTATTCGTTCATATGTTGATGGGCACTTAGGCTGATTCCTCATTTGAGCTATTGTGAATAGTCCCACAATGAACATGGATGTGCAGGTCTCTCTTTCATATGGTGATTTCATTTTCTTGGATATATACCCAGAAGTGGGACAGATGGATAGTATGGTAGATATCTATTGCTATTTTTTTGAGGAACTTACAAACTATTGTCCACAATGGCTGTACTAATTTACAGCCCCACCAATTCTGGATAAGAGTTTCTGGATAGGCATGGTGATACACACATGTAATCCCAGAACTCAGGAGACTAAAGCAAGAATATTGTGACTCTGAGGGAGGCCAGCCTGGGATACACAGTGAAACACTGTTTTGAAGAAAAAAGTTGGGTAAAATTCAGTAGTGAGGCCTTCCAGTCCTGAGCTTTTCTTTGTTGGGAGACCTTTTTTTTTTATTGTTTTATTATTCATATGTGCATACAATGCTTGGGTCATTTCTCGCCCCTGCCCCCACCCTCTCCCTTACCACCCACTCCGCCCCCTCCCTGTGCCCCCGACCCCCTCAATACCCAGCAGAAACTATTTTGCCCTTATTTCTAATTTTGTTGTAGAGAAAGTATAAGCAATAATAGGAAGGAACAAGGGTTTTTGCTGGTTGAGATAAGGATAGCTATACAGGGCATTGACTCACATTGATTTCCTGTGCGTGTGTGTTACCTTCTAGATTAATTCTTTTTGATCTAACCTTTTCTTTAGTTCCTGGTCCCCTTTTCCTATTGGCCTCAGTTGCTTTTAAGGTATCTGCTTTAGTTTCTCTGCGTTAAGGGCAACAAATGCTAGCTAATTTTTTAGGTGTCTTACCTATCCTCACCCCTCCCTTGTGTGCTCTCGCTTTTATCATGTGCTCAAAGTCCAATCCCCTTGTTGTGTTTGCCCTTGATCTAATGTCCGCATATGAGGGAGAACATACAATTTTTGGTCTTTTGGGCCAGGCTAACCTCACTCAGAATGATGTTCTCCAATTCCAACCATTTACCAGCGAATGATAACATTTCATTGTTCTTCATGGCTGCATAAAATTCCATTGTGTATAGATACCACATTTTCTTGATCCATTCGTCAGTAGTGGGGCATCTTGGCTGTTTCCATAACTTGGCTATTGTGAATAGTGTTGCAATAAACATGGGTGTGCAGGTGCCTCTGGAGTAACCTGTGTCACAGTCTTTTGGGTATATCCCCAAGAGTGGTATTGCTGGATCAGATGGTACATCAATGTTTAGCTTTTTAAGTAGCCTCCAAATTTTTTTCCAGAGTGGTTGTACTAGTCTACATTCCCACCAACAGTGTAAGAGGGTTCCTCTTCCCCCACATCCTCACCAACACCTGTTGGTGGTGGTGTTGCTGATGATGGCTATTCTAACAGGGGTGAGGTGGAATCTTAGCGTGGTGTTAATTTGCATTTCCTTGATTGCTAGAGATGGTGAGCATTTTTTCATGTGTTTTTTGGCCATTTGAATTTCTTTTGAGAAAGTTCTGTTTAGTTCACTTGCCCATTTCTTTATTGGTTCATTAGTTTTGAGAGAATTTAGTTTTTAAAGTTCCCTATATATTCTGGTTTTCAGTCCTTTGTCTGATGTGTAGCTGGCAAATATTTTCTCCCACTCTGTGGGTGTTCTCTTCAGTTTAGAGACCATTTCTTTTGATGAACAGAAGCTTTTTAGTTTTCTAAGGTCCCATTTATCTATGCTATCTCTTAGTTGCTGTGCTGCTGGGGTTTCGTTGAGAAAGTTCTTACCTATACATACTAATTCCAGAGTATTTCCTACTCTTTCCTGTATCAACTTTAGAGTTTGGGGTCTGATATTAAGATCCTTGATCCATTTTGAGTTAATATTGGTATAGGATGATATACATGGATCTAGTTTTAGCTTTTTGCAGACTGCTAACCAGTTTTCCCAGTAGTTTTTCTTGAAGAGGCTGCTATTTTTCCATCATGTATTTTTAACACCTTTGTCGAAGACAAGTTGGTTATAGTTGTGTGGCTTCATATCTGGGTCCTCTATTCTGTTCCACTGGTCTTCATGTCTGTTTTTGTGCCAGTACCATGCTGTTTTTATCGTTATTGCTTTGTAATATAGTTTGAAGTCAGGTATTGTGACACCTCCAGCATTGTTCTTTTGACTGAGTATTGCCTTGGCTATTCGTGGCCTCTTGTGTTTCCATATAAATTTCATGGTAGATTTTTCAATCTCTTTAATGAATGTCATTGGAATTTTGATGGGAATTGCATTAAACATGTAGAATACTTTTGGGAGTATAGACATTTTTACTATGTTGATTCTACCAATCCATGAGCATGGGAGATCTCTCCATTTTCTATAGTCTTCCTCAGTCTCTTTCTTCAGAAGTTTATAGTTTTCCTTGTAGAGGTCATTCACATCTTTTGTTAGGTTTACACCTAGGTATTTGATTTTTTTTGAGGCTATTGTAAATGGAATTGTTTTCATACATTCTTTTTCAGTTTGCTCATTTTTAGTGTATAGAAATGCTAATGATTTTTCTATGTTGATTTTATATCCTGCTACCTTGCTGTAGCTATTGATGATATTTAGAAGCTTCTGAATAGAGTTTTTTGGGTCTTTAAGGTATAGGATCATGTCATCTGCAAATAGGGATATTTTGACAGTTTCTTTACCTATTTGTATTCCTTTTATTCCTTCTTCTTGCCTAATTGCTCTGGCTAGGAATTCCAGTACTATGTTGAATAGGAGTGGAGATAGTGGGCATTCTTGTCTTGGGGGACATTTTTATTAATGATTTAATCTCATTACTTGCTGTTAGTCTGTTCAAGTTTTTTATATCCTCATGGCTCAGTTTTGTTAGGTCATACGTGTCCAGAAATTTGTCCATTTCTTCTACATTTTCCAATTTGTTAGCATATAGTTTTTCGTAATAATCCCACAATGATCCATTTCATTTCAGTGGCGTTGGTTTTAATGTCTCCTTTTTATCTCTGATTTTCTCTTTGTTTGTTACCTTTTTTTCTTGGTTTGTCTGGCAAAAGATTTTGTAATTTATATTTAAAAAAACTCAATTCCTTGTTTCACTGGTGTTTGGTATTTTTTAGTCTCTTGTTCATTTCTGCAGTGATCTTTCTTTTTTTCTGTTTATTAACTTGGGTTTGCTGTGTTGTTTGAGCTGCACTGTTAGATTGTTTACTGAAATCTTTTTTTGACATAGACACTTATTGCTATAAATTTTCCTCTTAGTGCTGCTTTTATTGTATTCAATGTTTTATTATGTTGTGTTTCCATTTTAAGAAAAATTTAAATATCCCTTTGATTTTCCCACCCAGTATTTGTTCAAAAGGGTATTGTTGGGTTTGAATGCATTTGTAGAATTTCTACAATTTCCTACCTTATTGACTTCTAGTTTTATCCCAATGTGATTAGAAGATACCAGATGGGATTTACATTTTCTGAATTTGTCATGGAATATACAGTG